TGGATCACGTGGCTCTCTGACTGCGGACCATTGTTGTAGATCACGTTGTTCTCTGACTGCGGACCATTGTTGTGGATCATATTCAAGCACGCGCTCTGAAACCCCACAAACTGTAACATGTCCCGGTCTTTGTAGTGCAGCTTGTTGATTCTCGGAGTATACAAAACCATCACTACACGCTTCCCAGACCAGGGTTGTACTTCATGCCATCGTCGCGGTGGGAACCTGAAAGGCTTGCCAACTTCTAGCCGATGGGTAAATCCCTTCTTCCAGAGCTTCTTAGCCACCAGCTTCCACTCCGCGTACTTGGGGTCGAGGTCCTCGTGCTCCAGCCAAAGATCCCCTCCTTCTTCCGGAGCCTGTAGCAGCGTCACCACATTGGTGCTATCGATCTCATTGTGTGAGTCCTTATGACACCCGTTGTCCATGTCCTCGAGCAACCCGAGAGCCGTAAAATCATCACTCTCCGTGATCAACTTGGCTGCTTCCACCAAATACTTCGTTGACCACTTCATCCGCGTAGTAGTACCCCGTAATCCTGCCACACCTCCATGCACAAACATGCCGGTGTACCACGAACAACCTGTCCCAGTTGCTGCTCTCCCACTGGTCTGCTTCGGTTTGATAGCCTTCAGGTAGTCGAAGAGTTTTAGGATCCCTTCCACAGACCAATCCCCGCCCCGGATAAGCTTCTTTGCCTCAGTTTCCGCCAGCTCCTCCTCAACACTCAAAGGGTGGTCCACTAGGAGTCGATGTAGTCGCTTCTTACCACGAATCCTCCGCTCCGGCAGCGGGATCTCGATTTCCCTTGGGACCAAATCCACCAACTCATCGGCGTCCACCAAATTATGCTTGAGGTGCAGACTGGTAACAAAGGTGGCATCTGGGAACCGAACCACGTGGCCATGCTGCACATCCTCCGACGGCCCCACGTAGACGCCCTGAGCCCACTTGTTTTCCACATCGTACTTTCCGGATTGGCCGTAGATCTTGGTGCGAACGTGCACAGGAGTCCCAAATCCAGGAAGTTCGCCAGGTTTCCCCAAAGCGCGCTGCCTTTGTTGCGCGGTGGCGTACATCATTGCTAAAGGCCATGTAGACTTGGGCAGTCTTGCTGTAGTCATAAGAAGACGAGCCTCAGACTTCACGAACTTCACCGTAGCCTCGGCTCGCCCATTTTGCTGGGGCGTTTGCGCTTCTCCAGTAGTAGCCAAAACTCCACGCTCCAACAGCCATTCGCGAAGACGTCGATTGCACAACTCGGTCGCTCTATCTGAGTGTAGACGAAACACTTCCAATCCATCAGCCTTCACCTGCAGGTACATTTGGCGCACTCGAGCATTCACCTCTGAAGCCCTTCTAGACCGCATTGGTACTGCATAGCGAAGAACCTGATAATCCATCGTGTCGCCCACTTCAGCCACAAGCTCTTTGTACTGGGCATTCAAAGCGTCCATCTCGTCTCTCTCGAGGTCGCCCACCTGAGGTATAGGATCTTCACCACTCACCTCAAACAGGTCTTCCATGTCTGGTTCTGGATCATCTGCTGGTTCTGGGCCACCTTCTGGTAGAGGACCACTGGGATCTGGATCATCTGCTGGTTCTGGAACACCTTCTGGTAGAGGACCACTGGGATCTGGATCATCTGTTGGTTCTGGACCACCTTCTGGTAGAGGACCACTGGGATCTGGATCATCTGCTGGTTCTGGAACACCTTCTGGTAGAGGACCACTGGGATCTGGATCATCTGTTGGTTCTGGACCACCTTCTGGTAGAGGCGCTTCAATATCACCCACCCCTCCTTCTGGAGCATTCAGGATCACATCCTCGGAAGGAGTAGACTCTTTCTTCAGGAGCGGCATAGTGTATGACCCCACCAACATGTACCGGTAATCGAGTGCTCCAGGCGCTTGGCCTTTTACACGAAAGGGACCACAAACATCCACCGAAAGCGTGAAGCACGAAGGGGCTTGTACTCTACGATGGGAGTGACCAACCGCCTTGGTTTCCACACATGTTCGGCATCGCTTGTTGTAAGGGATGTGGCCTTGTCGTACATGCTGAGTCCACTTATTGAGCTCCTCCTTTGACATTTGGGAAAGAGGTCCATCCATCTTGCACATCGTGATTGAGTTTCGCCAACGATGTACTCCTTGAACCAAACAGCGTCTAAAGTCATTGGTCCATTGAAGCTGTCCCCTTCCGGTTTTAACTTCCCATTCCTCCACTGGCCATGTGGTCGCCAAATTCGTGACGCACCTCAGTGTCCCAACCGAAATCCATCGAAGTCCTCCACGTAGTGCACGGATTTTTTGCCAAATAGGCGAAGGCCAAACGGCGCTGTTCACTGGCATAGTCATCACGAAGTAAGGATCCCGCTTCTCCATGGCTTCCGAGGCCACTTTGCCAATCCACCACAAGAATAACTGCTTGAGCACCAGTTCACCCTCACCTTCACCTCTGGGAGGGCTTCCAAGGATGCCTTCCAGCTGCCCCCTCATAGCTGCCCACAAGAGCACCCGATAGGCGGGACCATGGTCTCGTAGATTGAACGCTTTGCTCTTGAACAAATCCAGCTCCAACAGCACCAAGCCATCTGTCTCAAGAGCCTTGAGGTCCGGGTGTTCGTCTGGCCCCGAACACATGTTCACAATCCATCTAGCGGACAACAGTCTCCTCCTCAACGCTCTCTTGATGGGGAGGGCTTTCAAGTATTTCATGCCAGCTGCATCCGTCAAGTCAATGTCCTGGACAAGTGCACAGCGTTGTGACTCAATGATGTGATGAAACACTGAGTCAGAGGACATCAGGGCCTTCAAGCCGTCTGTTCTCTTTCCAGACCTTCTGTACTCCATCAAGGACGGCTCAAATGAAGTCTCAGCCTCCATGCCCATGACGCGCAGCTGAGTTTCAACCGTGTTCACTTTCAGCTGCTCTAGCTTTCTGGCCTCGATCTCCTCAATGAGCTGCAAAGCCTTTGTTTCCCCAATGAAGGGACAAGAACCAACTACGTGAGTAGTGAGCTCTCCATGTTCTGGATGTTGAACTCGAAGGCCATGCCTGTCCCACGAAACCGCGCAGTTGAGTTCCTGAACCAATGTGCCCAGTGGCACAATCGTGGTGACGGGGTTGTCCTTGCTTCCTGCACTCTTCACTGGCATCAGTGTACCCGCGCGATTCTGCTGCAAGTCCACTGTTTGACCGTCAGCCAGCTGCACCTGTACCATCTCCGTGAAGTCCTGCTCCGTGAATGGCTTGAAGGGATGTGTAGCTCCAGAGTCCAGGAGGGCATAGGTTTCCGTCTTCTCGTTGAACTTGGCCATGGTTGCCTCCAATTTGCTCACCTCGGGGTCCAAGGACTCAGCGATCTTCAAGCTGTTGAGCCTGGTCATTCTTTGCAGCATAGTGTTAACTTCCTTCATGAAGGCTTGGAACTCTGGTCCTTGAACAGCCGCATTAGTTGTAGTCCCCAAAGACTCAGTCACCCCCATAGCATCACCACTCATAGCGGTAGTAGGGACGGAGGAGATTGTTCCCGCCACCAACGGCATAGACGCTTTCGGCTCAATCACTGGTTGCACTGCTGCCACCGTTGGGGTAGATTGGGGTCTTGCCGAGGAAGTCGAAGATGCTGGAGAGTCCTTGGGTCGCCGAGGCTCCTTTGCCGGGCACTCGTTTTGTCGGTGCTGCTTGGAGCCACAGTACCAACATCTGGAGCGCTTCTCATCTCTACTCTGAAACTCGTGCTGGTACTTGCAGGCCTGTCCCCGTTTGCAACCTGCATCTGAAAGGAAGAACTTACACGGCGTGGACGCTGCTGATCCCCTCTGAGAAGACCTTGAAGGCGAAGCAGTCGGGCTCGTTGTAGTGGAAGCTTCGCCAGTGCCAGCTCCGATTGCCTTGATCTTTGGGGTCTCCCCGGTGCCTGGTGCCCCCCTTTGATTCCATTTGGCCGGAAGGGCCTGCTGCATTTCTGCCATCAGGTGGTCGTAGAACTTCATCACCGTTTCCTGAGTCGGCCTGCTTTGCAGCTGTAGCTCATTCCTTGCCAAAGAAAGCCTGAAGCTCATCTCTGAGTGCTTTTGCACACAGCTTGCACATATAGTGTCCAGGCCGCGAAGAAGGATGCTGGCGTCGGGCACAGACAAGTGCATCTCCTGGGATCTGGACAAGTGGCGCTTCCACTTTCTCAGCGCGGTGATAACATCAACCACATTGTCGCCAGCTCCTACACCTTCCAACTGCTTCAACACCGTAGTTCTTTCCGCGATGCCACCCGGAGAGTATAGGATGTGAAACCGGTAGAGCACTGCCGCCACGGAAGATACCCTGTGCGTCACCGCGTCCTCCCGCACCATCTTCGGCATCGCTGCCAAAACCAAAGTCATCACCTTGCGGTCCAGCCGAATCCATCGAGGCTCGAGCAGCTCTGGTGCTTGTCGAGGTCCAATGGATAGCCTCTCAAGTGGAGTTGCAACCTGGTACCGGTGGTAGGCCTCGCGCACACAAGCCAAAGTCTTCTCGTACCATGTAGAGGCTGAATCGGACATGGACCCTATGGTCTGTTCTGCCACGTAAAGCCAATCGCTGAACTCTACTCCCGTGTCACCGCTGAGCTCCGGTAGGGCGGGTAGTTCGGCGCCCTTCAAGACCTCGTTGTCCACGCCGCCCTTCTTCTCCATATACATCTGCTGAAGCTGCCTCATACCTTGGACCAAAATGCCCAGAGGAGAGCCTTCATCAACATTCTGGGTCTCCTGCGCCTGCTGTTCTCCCAGAGGCCCAAACTGTGGAACTGCCGTTGTAGTGGCGGGCTCCACTCTCGTCGGACTGCCTCCACGGCCCAACAGGCGACCCGAAAGTCCCCCCAACGCTCCATGAACTGGCGCTTCCGCCCTGCTCCACGTGGGGAGATTGCCTCCGGATACCCTATCACTTCCTGGTAGAAAAGGAGGAGCCTCACGTGGTTCTTTAGAGCCTTGCACATCACTTCGCGGCTGGCCTCCAGGTTCAAAGCCTAGATGCCCGCCACGAGCCTCTTGTTGCACTTGCCCTTGACCACCGCCACCTCCAGCAGCCATCATCTCATTAAGCAGCTGCGCTGAAGTTTCCAAAGCTTGTCGAAGCTCGTTGTTTTCGCTCCTCAAATCCTTTACTTCTGTGTCCCGTCCGGACATGGCAAGCTGTACCTGCTTTCTAACCTCCTCCATGATCTGCTCCTGAGACAGACTTGCCGAGGAGCTGTCGTCACGTAGACCCACCGAAGATCTCACATTCGTAGTTATGGCCGTGGGTCTCGCCGTCCAATCCTCCATGGCCCGGCGAACTTCCGGCGACATTAGTGGCGTGGTAGCTGGCGTAGTAGCTGGCTCCGGTGACTGCCAAGGCGAAACCACCGTTCGAACTTCGCGCTCGCTATTCTCACCAGATCCACCCACATGGCCCATAACAGGAGCCACCACTCGTCGATGTAGAACTTCGCTGATCCTCGTGACTGACCAAAGTCCTTGACGTTGCCCTTCCTCACCTGAAGAAACATTCCCTGGCCCAGGTGTGATGGGAGGTTGAGGAGAACCTTGAACACCCTGAAGAGCTCTCGAAGCTCTCGCTTGCACTGCTTGTACTACAGAGGCTCTTTGCTGCCACAGCTGCTGCACAGCGGTCTGAAGCTGTTGAGGTAGTCCTTGGGATGAAGTAGTTGGCCTCGTAGCGTCAGTGAGGGTATCCGTTGTTCGTTGCGGAGGTACTGGAGCTTGCGCATCATCTTGGGTCGAGGCCTGCGGCGGCTGCTGGGGCTGCTGGGCCATAGCTGTATCTGCTGAGGTTGTTGGCTGGGGCTCCACTGATGCTGCCGCTTCGTTCGTACGCGCTCCACGTCCGGTGTTCGCGCCCGATCCGGTTGGTTCGTTTCGTTCCTCACCACCAGACGAAGCCACAACATTCTGTGAATCCTGTCGAACTGGTGACAGTCCGACAGGCGTCACACCATTCGGTATACTTCCCGTAGCCATTGCACCATAAGCAGGTCCAGCTATCTCACCTTCCAGCAACTGCCTTTGGTCACCTTGCCCTTGGATAACGCCCTTTGGGCTCATAACCTGTAGAAGAACAGGTCTTCCGAATGACTTCTGTTGTACACTGGGATGTACAGCTTCACAAGCACAGAGCCATGTGCGAATTGGACACTAAACTTTTCACCACACAGAATGGACAATGCTTCATCGCTGCCTTGTTTCGGCGGACTACTGAGTCTATACAACATCTGTGTTATCGGTAACTTGCATCTGACATATCATGGAGCAATCTGCCTGCAGACATCAAAGGTTCACGCAAGGCTCACACTCCAGAGATTCCACAGGAACCTATTCTTCAGGGTACTATATGAGGGTCCCCTATTTTTGGAAACCCCCTAAACCCTAAACCCCTAAACCCTAAACCCTAAATCCTAAACCCTAAATCCTAAACCCTAAATCCTAAACCCCCATGAAGCCTCTGGATCTTCATCTTCTCGCAGCACTGGATCAAGCGCTTCTTGCCCTCCCAATCGATGTCGTAGATCGACTCCTCTAACGGTTTAGGGTTTAGGGTTTAGGGTTTAGGGTTTAGGGTCTAGGGATCGGCTTAATCTTCCAGAGCTTGGCCGAACTCTTGCAACATTATCGCCCTTATCGTCTATATGTCATAGTACAATAAAGTATCCTCCAAACCCTAAGCACTAAACCCTAAACCCTATTCTTACAATGATGACCCCTAAGTTATACAGGGCTTCTGGGACGAAAGCCTCCGCAGTTCGAGGGTTCGAGGTTTTGAGAACTCTCCCATTTTGGGGGTTTCCGAATTTAACATAGGGGACCCTAATATAGCACCTAAAATAGAAGGATTATTAGAAGGACGCCAAAAAAAGGTACCCCTTGTTTTCGGAAACTCCCATTTGACTCAACAAGGGCTCTAAGTCGCTGGGGACCTCCTAAACATTCGACCCCAGCCGTGTTTTGTTAACGTTTCCTCCAAGCTCAGAACATGCCTGAAGTCTCCATCGTAGTTCTTTTTTTTGGTTTAACCCATAATAAATTAAGGATTTTATAAGGCATCCCCAAACAGGAGCTAGACTATAGGTGTATTGTACTGTAAGGGCTCCCTTTAACGAAGGAACCGGCTAGCCATCTGGCAGCAGGCTCCTCTGGGCGTGCAGTGGCGCAGTCGACCACCGTGTGGATGCCAACCAGCGAACCTGTCTCACGGTTTAGGGAGTTAAGGGCTTAGGGTTTTCAGGTCTTTTGCGGTTTTCAGGGGTTTACGGTTTTGAGGTCAGGGCTTTAGGGTCTCTGGCTTTCGGTTTTTTAGGGCATAGAATTTCGAGCTTTTGGGGCTTCGGCTTTTGGTGTTTAGGGCTTCAGGGTTTAGCGGTTGGGTTGGGGGGTTTAGGGTCTTGGTTTGTAGGGTTTTCGGGCCTATAGGGTTCGGGAACTTAGCAGTCACGGTGCATGGTTTAAGGGCTATGGGATGTCAGGTATGTCGAGGGTCGAATGCCTGATTTGGGACTTGAGGATGCTGGTTGAGTTTCAAGACCGAGAAAGCCTTAACTTTAGACTTGGACTCACACACGGTGTAACTATTGCTTGTAGGCCCCCTCCTTTGAGGCGAAAACTAAGACTTGACAAGTAGTACAGCAGTGACACTTGTCCTGTGTCGTCGTTGCATAAGCAACAGAAAGCCAATTCAACTGTTTGTGGATCATCATTCGTCAAGTACTCTCCTCTTCAATAAGCAGTCCCGAAAAAAGTTCAAATTTTTTAGGGTAGACTTCGTATATAAAGCCAAAAAGTTTAAAATTCTCCCATTGGCTATCTCAGAGTAAATTTAAGATCAGAGACGCAGACCTACAAAGCCTCCTAGCTCTCTCGGTGCAGGCTGAATGTTCCAATCAAGGATAACTCTGAGTTCTGAAGTTCTGGGCTACATCGTAACATAGGGGGCCTTAATCATCAGAAGTTCTGGGCTCCTTTATAGTCTAATTATAATAAGNNCCCCCCCCCCCCCCCAACATAGTACTGGTAATTATTGATGGAGGCCCCTATAGTAAATATGACGATACAGTTCGCTAGGCCCAGGAATCCGGAACCTCCTACCGGTGGCATATACTCTGCTCCCGCAGCTCTGGAACTTGTCCGTTCCGGTCTTCCTATATCACGGAACCAACGGGATGGTACTATGGTACCATCCTGCAGCTGAACATCTGAAAATGAATCCTGCCGAGGCACTTGGCAAACTTTCAGCGCGGAGAAGCTCACCTGCTCGGTGCTACAGCCCAAACCATGTCAGCAATTGATGTTTCTCTCTGACAGAAAAGCGTCCATGCTTCTATTTGGCCTTGATGCGACACCGATGCTCTGAACATTCCGTCAATCGCAACAGCAAGCCCTCCATCACTCTCTCTCTCTCTCTCTCTCGAATCGCTACGCAAGGGCACGTACCAGTAGGCCAGGCAATCAGGAGGAACGGCACGAGTGCAAAGCCTCCTTCATTCGTAAGCCCACGCTCGTGGACAAGAACTTACCCCAACAATCACGTTCGGGGATGTGAGGCCTTCGATAAAATAAGGACATGCAGCTTTACACACAGACTGTATTCGTCCCGCAATCAAAATTCCGACTGCAAGCCCTCCATCATCAAGAGGAACATTGCGAATCTTGGACCAACGCGGTCTCCAGTCGTTCTCTGTAGGAACTGAAACTTCCGGCCTTCCACGACAGTGGCGCCCCAGTCCTTGGAATGAGCGTCCGGGGCTCGGCAGCATCAGAGCACATACTACGCCGGAACTGCTTGGGTTGGTGCCAGACCTTCGAAGTCTGCAAACATTCTCATGTTTCAGGGCCTAGGGTTTAGGTTTTTGAATTCCGGGCTCAAGGTTTCAGCACTCAGAGATGGGTCCAAGGTTTAGGGTCATGGGCTTGGGTTCTACAGCCTCGGGCTGCCGTAGACAACATGAAAGACAGAAGTTGTCCACCAACGCGGCTTGTGAACTGGTTCCATTTCCGTTGATTTTTTGCCGGGAAACTAATGTAGGGGCCTTAATAATTAGTGAGCATGTGTCTGTGACCTGTGC